GAAACCCTGTCTCTACTAAAAATACAAAAATTAGTTGATTGTGGCGGTACATGCCTATAGTCCCAGCTACTTGGGAGGCTGAGGCAGAAGAATTCCTTGAACCCGGGAGGCAGTGGTTGCAGTGAGCCAAGATTGTGCCACTGCACTCTAGCCTGGGTGACAAAGCAAGACTGTCTCAAAAAAAGAAAAAAGAAAAAGAATTTGTAACGCTTTTCTTTGTGACATACATATGATCATTTAAAAATATTCTCTCAATATTTGAAGAGTATATGAAGTCTATAAACAATTTTCAAAATGTATTAATTATATCAATGAATTGTTTTACAAACCTTCTAATTTCAGTCTACTTTATTGTCAGTTAAATTATGTTAAAGTCTCCCATACAGAATACAGATGTTTTTATCAGTTTTTGTATTGCTGACAGTTTTTTTCTTTATATATTTGGATGCCATGATTTTTGCAAAAGAAATGGTTCATGAATATAATATCTTCAATATGGGTTGTATCATTAATCAATATAAAATGAACCTCTTGGGATCAGTATGGTTGTATGGTCACTGTTCATGATTTTTTTTTTCCAAGTAGAGAAGTGACATGCTCAAATACCTATTTGGAGAATAGATTGATTAGGAAAAGGTGAGACTGAAAGCTGAGAAGCCAGGGGGAAGGCTCTTAGAATAGTTCAGGTGAGAAATGATGAGTGACTGGATTAAGACAAAGGCAACCAAGAGGTCTATAGCAGGTTAAAAACATCAAGACTTGGAATTAATTGGATTGGAAGAGGGGTGGGGTAAGAGAGTAGTTGAGGGTGATACCTACATTTCTGACTTAGCTGACCATTATCTAGACAGCAAAAAGGAGGAAGAGCTGGGTTGGCTTTTCAGAAGTGGCCATGTTCTAAAGTTCCTTCTGTTTATATTCATCCCCAGAGGACTCAAGTCCAGACCTAAAGCCCAGTGTTGGATCTTTGTCAGTTGATTGCTTACTCAAACCAATGTCTTTCTACCTGTATAAAACACTAGGCTGAATATTCACAAACTTTTGGATAATCACACTTCTTTTATGTGTTAAGAGCTCTGTCATAAATTTGACGAAAAATTTGGACTAAACAAGAGGGAATTAATTTCCAATACCGTGCCCAGGGTAGTCCACATGTGAAGGTTAAGTTTACCACAAGAGGGCAGCATCACCTAATAAGTTATGTCACTGAACGCCTTGACCAATAGGGGCTGAGATGGGGAGACTAAGAGGATAGACAATGTAGGTTCAGAAGCCATAGGACCTGCCACACCATGAAAAAAACCAAAGGGCCCTGCTATCTCCAAGGACATAATCATAGTCACTCCTAAGTGGCAGATGTTGCTACAATATGAAGAAACACCTGAACCATCTCATTCTTGTGACTGGCTCAGAAAACACTCTAGATAGTGTCCACACTCCCTCTAAGTGCTGGTGTCTCTGTACAACCAGCATCTCACAGGGGCTTTTATTTTCTATTCAGATCTTTGCCACCCCTAATGGTTTCAGCACATCATTCTCTGCAGGTTAGGCTGCAAAGCACACCACCATTCTGATGCTCTCCCAATTTAACAATGTTTGGTTATTCCAATTATGCTTCTTTTAGGCCTTAAGGAAAGAAATGGGAATGAAATTCACTGACAACCCATTATGTTAAAGTTCTTTTATGTAAGTTATCTTATGTAATTATTGTGATAATGCCACTATGGAGGAATTATTGTTTGTCAGGTAAGAAACCTAGGAAGTTGCATACATGGAACTATCTAACTCCAAAACAAAAATGCTTCCAAATTCACCAAATTACCCCTCCAAGAAGCCTTATTTAAGACCTAAATCTTGACCAATCCAAGATAAAATCAGTTATAATGTGTCTGTTATATAAGGCATTACTTAACATGTCACCTCCTATCCATGTACATGGGCAGGTATGGATTAATCTTAGGTAGCAGCAGGTAATAGAAGTCAATGAGATCCTATATAACTTCATTCTTCCCAGGTCCGAAGCCTTTCCCTTAAATTGTCTCTTTAGGACAAATCATTTGGATATAGAACATGAGGACAATGGGAGAATTAAAGATGGCTTCCGTGTTTCTGGCTTGGTTGACTGAGTACATACAAGGTGGTCTTGGTCACAGATAGTGATCTTGAGAGAAGATGATGATGTATTAGGTTTTGGGCATGTTGTGTTTCCAATACTTCTGACACATATAAGTATAAATGTCTAATAGGAAGTCGGTTATACGGTGTGGAGCATAGGAGATATATACAATAATTGAAGCTGTAGGGCTGGGTGAGATTTTCCAGAGCATATTAAGTTAAAAATGGTGGAACTACAGGAAACACCAACATATAAGGAATGGCCAGAGGAAGAGCAGGTAGTAAGGAGCCTGGTTTTTAAAAAATGGACAGAGATATAGGAAAAGAACAAGAAAACTGATTATCTTGAAAGTAAGAGGTTTGGCTAGGCATGATGCCTTATGCCTGTAATCTCAGCACTTTGGGAGGCCAAAGCGGGCGGATCACCTGAGGTCAGAAGTTCACAACCAACCTGGCCAACATGGTGAAACTCCATCTCTACTAAAAATACAAAAATTAGCCAGGTATGGTGGCACATGCCTATAATCCCAGCTACTCAGAAGGCTGAGGCAGGGGAATTGCTTGAACACAGGAGGCGGAGGTTGCAGTGAGCTGAGATCGCGCCATTGCACTCCAGCCTGGGCAACAGAAAAAAAATTTCTAAAAAAAAAAAAAAAAAGAAAAGAAAAATAAGAGGTTTTTTTTAAAAAAAAATTGACATGTAATAGTTATACATATTTTGGGTGTACATGTGTCATTCTGATACACACATATAATGTGTAATAATGAAATTAGGAAAATTGGGATATCCATTCACTTGAAATAGTTATCTTTTCTTTATGCTAAGAACATATGAATTATTTTCTAATAGCTATTTTGAAATATACAATAGATTGTTAACTATAGTTACCCTACCAAACTATTGAACAGTAGATCTTATTCCTTCTAACTGCATTTTTATACCCATCAATCAACCTCTCTACAACCTCCCCATTTCCCAGCTTCTAGTAACCACCAGTCTACTCTCAGTCTCCATGAGATCCTTCTTTTCAGCCCTTACATATGAGTGAGAACATGTAATATTTGTCTTTCTGTCTAAGCTTATTAATGACCTCCAGTTCCATCTGTGTTGCTGTAAATGACAGGATTTCATTCTTTTTTATGGCTGAATAGTATTCCATTTTATATATATATTCCCCTTTTTCCTTATCCATTTATCTACTGATAGATAATTAGGTTGATTCTGTAACTTGTTTATTGTGAATAGTGCTGCAATAAACATGGGCGTGCAGATATCTCTTTTATATGCTGATTTCCTTTCTTTTGAATATGTACCCAGCAGTGGGACTGCTACATCATATGATAGTTCAATTTTCAGTTTTTAGCAAAATCTCCATACTGTTTTTTATGGCAACTGCACTATATCACATTCCTACCAACAGTGTACAAGGGTTCCCCATTTTCCCACATCCTTGCCAGCACCTGTTATTTGTTTGTTTGTTTTTATAAAAACTATTTTAACTGGGATGAGATAATATGTCATTGTGGTTTTTACTTTCATTTCCCTGAAGATTAATGATGTTGAGCATTTTTTCATATGCCTGTTGGCCATTTGTGTGTCTTCCTTTAAGAAATGTCTATTCAGGTCTTTGCCCATTTTTAAGTTGGATTATTTGTGGTTTTTTGCTATTGAGTTGCTGTGTGAGATTTTTGGTATTGAGTTTCATAAAGGAAGGCAGAGGCCACAATCTAGAGCTATAATGTTAAATGCCATATATGATAAATATTAAAAATAACCAATTGACTTTGACAATTAGGAGATTATTTGTAGTTTTTGACAAAGTAGTTTCAGTGGAGTACTGAGGGTCAAATTCTGGTTGCAGAGGGTGGAAAGCCAAATGGCAGGTGGAGAAGGGGGGACAGCGAACATAGACTCTCCCTTTGAGACTGAGTATGAACAAAAGGAGAAAGATGGAGCAGTAGCCAGAGGGAGAAGTGAGATTGTGGGAAGATGCAACATGGAAAAACTTAGGTGTGTATATAGGATAAAGGGGAAAAAAATAGAAAGGGAGAGGACTGAGCTCCAATAATACAAAGCAAAGATGCAGCAGCAGAATGAAAGAAAGCCATGTGGAAAGCTCACCAACAGGCAGATGCTTTTGGTGGTAGCAGAATGACTGTGCCCAAATATGTCCTTCCCTTTCTTCTGCTTATGCTACTCCACTTACCTGCAATACCTTCCTTTTCTGATAGTTTATTTTTCAAATTATACTCACCGTTTAGCTTCAATTTCACTTCCTTTATGAAGTCTTACCCCATCAATCCCCTCTGCAGTGATCTTTCTCTAATAGCAATTTCTGTCTGAACAATCCATTTGACAATCACACACAAGCCTTTATTGCCTCCTTTAAAAATATACTGTTACTTAGTCACGTGTGTATGTTTTCTCTCCTGCTAGACTGTGCACTCCTCAAGGACAGGGTTTCTAAGAGTTTGCTACAGCATCTGGAGTGCTTACCATGGCTTATTGTAGGGGCTCTTTAAGTCTCCATTGATATGTGGTTCAAGAATGATAGTGTATTATAAAGAAGGAGACTGAAAAACACTGGATTAGGTAGCCCTTTGGTATATGATGAGTAATTTTGTCCTCATTATAGCAAATAAGGAAACACTCTAGCAGAGGTCAAATAAATTTATCCAAGATTATATGTCTATGTGGCAGTGCCAGGATTTGAACCAAAGGCTCTTTCTCCTGTGCTATTCTGCTTCAGTCGTCTGCAAAATTCTATTCATGTGAAACACCTCTTTCCTTTATAATATTGATAGAGACATGACTCTATTGAGCTTTATTACCAACGAAGTTTCAGTGGCCTCTGTGCCTTATGGAGAATCTCCCTATACCTTACCTCCTGACAATCAGCTTGAGAATCCGGAAGGAGCCTTTTATGAGAATGAGGGCCTCTTGGCGGGATCCATATAATGGAGTGCCATTGATATTCACCAGCTCATCACCAGTCCTCATCTTCTGGGACAAAGCTGCCTTGCCTCCATCTTCAATCTGTGTTGCAGAGAACAAAACAGAAAGCAGGTAGTGAGGCGACTTTCTCCTCAAAAATTCTACTTGTTTCTCCCAACCCTGGAGCCACAAGTAGTACTAAGGAATGGTTCCAAGCAGCTCCTGGAGGTAGCTCAGGAGCTGATGATAGGTTATTATTTACTGAAGGCAAAGCTAGGACAAACCTTTGAGGAAGGAGGCAACAGGGAAATAATGCAATCCCTGACTGGAGGAATGAGCACTCCATCAGAGAAGATTAGCACTTCTAAATAAGAAACTGATGCTTAGAAGGAACCCTACTGTGTGGCTAAAGCAGCAGCATGGCCTACCAAAGTGCAGACAAATTAGAGCCAGAAGAACTAGGCTCTAGCAAAATGGCCTTTGGCAAGCTCTTTCCTATCTGAGGGAAGGCTTTGAAGTCTGAAAAACATACGTTTGAATCCTGGCTCTGCTACTTCCTAGCTGTGTGACCCTGAGGAAGTTACTTAACATCTGTGTCTCAATTCCCTCCTATGTAACATGTAGATAACAAGACTAGCTACCTCATAGAGTCATTAGTATACTAAATATCTGGCAGCAGTAAGTCCTCAATTAATATGAGCTCTGATTATTATAACAATGAGGTTGACTCTAAAGACCTGGAAAGTGACTTCCAGCTCAACATTCTGTGAGTGAAATGGCAAATTCAAAAGATACAAGTAGGTACAATGTAGCTGCTTCTTTATCTGTGTCTCTTCAACACATGCCCAGCACAGTGCTTCTAGTGTCGACACAGACTGAGCATTCAGAGAAAGCTGAAAATATGGGTATTTACTATTCCAACACAACCTATAGAATTTCCATTAACCAGGGTAATCTGGAAAAGAAGATTGTCAGACTGAGGGCATCAAAAGCAAAGGCAGAAATAATAGCCACTGGGGCAGGCAAAAGCAAAGCAAAGCAGAATGTTCCTTGGGGTTCTTGCTTCTGGCTAATTTTATACATTCATTTTTATTATATTCATTTTACCATGAAGGTGAATTATACCTATTGGAACATCAATTCCATCCTTTATAGTAGGAGTCATCTCATCCATTCATTAAGTATTTAAGTAAATCTCTCTTATGTACAGGACAACATGCTACATGCTAGAGATATAAAAATGAACAAGGCTCCTAACTTCTAGCCTCAGGGGTAGGTTACTGCCTACAGCTTATTTATCAACTGAGATGGTCAGGCGAAAAAGGGTCCAACTCACTGATGTAATCAGGAGTTGTTTTTGTTTGTTTCCAGGGAAAGGGGATGTAAGGATAATTAAATCGTATAGTCCTTAGGGGACGGAAGATTCTAAATGGGGCAAGTAAGGGCTGGTATTCACTGGAAGTATTTTTACACTTCTACTCTTGTTCCAGTCTTTCTCTCATTCTTTTATAATGTCCCCTCAATCTATCCCCACACTATGGAAGTTAGAATATTGTTGAGCTTTAGGTTGGCCAGCTCATGTGCAATTTGGCAGATAAGACCTCCTGAGTGCAGAGAAAAATGTAAATTCAGAATTTTTTAAACTCCATCCAATAAATTGAACTTCTGAGTTAAATCACAGAATGTTATTATATTTATTGCCACTAATCCAACAGTTTTTTTTTTTAAATTAACCTTTGTCTGACAAATCATAGGTTAGCCAAGTGACATTGAATATATATACCTTTGTTCCGGTACCCAGGCCACACTCAAGACCAAACAAGCCAATATTGGTAAATGGGGAACAACTCTTAGCAAATTAATCAGGATTACACTCTTATTTCCGTTGTCATTATCATTATTACTTCACAGTCACTGCTGCCTGCCACCAAGAGGAAAAAAAAAGAGAGAGAGAGAAAAGGAAAGTGCTGTACTTGAATTTCAGAAGTTCTATTTGAATGACTCATTCCTTTGGCATCCATAGAAGGCCCTTAGCACCAGGCAGAACTTTCAACAGGGATCAGCTATTTGAAAGGGTTTCCTGAGGCTAACAAAGAATCACAAACAGAAGTCTAACTAATGAATGCTAATAGATTTTCCTGTTGATTAGTCTTAATTCCCTCTACATAGTCTTAATGCCCCCTACCCATTGTTTTTAATTCATACGACTTAATTATCCATATTACTGTTACCAAAAGCAAGTCTTACCCTCAACATGTATTGATATTAAGTACCATCTTTGGTTAATTAAACACTCTGTTACATCAGTAAGATCTCTGTTTATACTACGCAAGAAGACGAAAGGGGGAAACCTTTTAAACTAAAATGCTTAATTATTGCTGTAGCAAAAGCTAAGGCACTTGGCATTCTTTGCTGCTACTAAAGCTGCCACTGAGTCCTTGCACAGACTCTTTCTTGGACTACAGCATCAGGCCAACTGTTCATGCCCCTATTTTCTGTTCCATGCCCCTTCTCAGTCACCAGCATCCTCCTCAGGAGATATGTTAAGTGAAATAATGCCACTTTAGTATAAGTCTGAAGATGCTTAGACAAAAACCCAGCAAATTTTGGGTCCCCAGCATAATCCAAGAATTTGAATGGATCAAGATCAGGAAGTAACACTCCATTTGATTGAAGATCCCTTCAACTATACCCCAGACTAGCCCTTTTCCAGACCCAGGGTATTTACCGAGCTGTGCAATGGACTCCATACTCTTCCAGACTTTTTGGTCCTTTTTAAATTACTGCTCACTGGTCTTTCTCCTTCCCCCTCTACTTCTAGATTTCTGAGATCTAGCATGTCTTCTATTTATCGTTTGGCATCCTGACAGTCAGTTCTACAGGTCAATGTCTCAGCTACATATTTATTTATATGAAAGACAAAGCAGATGTTCATGTTTCTATCAATAATAAAAAAAAAAAGGACAGAAAGGAAGGAAAAACAAATGAGAGGAAGGGAGAAGGAGGAGGGAGGGGGAAAAGAAGATATGTATATTCTATAAAAGGTTTTGTTTCCCCTTCCCCCATCCTCCTTCTAACTGTGGCTGGTGTCCCGGAAATGTGTGAATAAACAAACTTATTGAAATTAACATACCCTGTTTGAGGGGCTGTATAACAATATATGATGCTATCCATTCCGTAAGGCTGGTCAGCTTTCCAGCTCTTCCTGCATCAGACCTTCAGGGTGGCTTTCTTGTTTCAGTTGAAGTGTTGTGAATTTTCAGATTAGACCCAGATGCATTGGAATGTCAGTGTAAACACACATCACAAAGCTCAATGTAAACGATGGTTAACTTATGTGTCATTTTGGATTATCCAAGTGATCGCTGGGCTAGCAGTGAGTGGCCCAAGTAATTGAAAATTGATTACACAGAGGTCATATAACCAAAAGCCAGGTGGTACCTGGAAAGCTAGAAAGAGTTGATTGACTTTGGACAAGTCCCTTTCCCTTCTTGCTGCCTCTCTTCTCTTACTGGTAAAATGTGTAAGAGGGCCTGACTAGATGATCTCTTGGGGCTCTGACAGCTCTGGGCCTTTTCAGCTCTGACATTCAGTGACCTGTGAACAGTTAGCAAAGTCATGCATTATCCTTTTGCTGACACAGATAATCTCAGCTTTTTGTCCCATTGTACTCTGCCTTCACCCCTGTTTCACTCCTTCAAAATTGACTAATTAACATCCATCTTTCAATTCCCCTGGTCTTTATCCATTGTTTCAGAGTGGTCCACCAAGGTTGGAACACTTAATAAGGCCCAGTCAGGACACTGAGAGAAAGAGATTCCTGAAGCCCTATTTTGTGCTAATGAGCTAGTGATTTGGAAATTTTTGATGGGTCTTCAATGAAGCATGAAATGCTCTGATAGCTGTCAACAAAGTGACAAGTTGGCCCCTTGAGAGTAAAGAAAAAGAACAATTAACTTAACAGCACTTGCTGGCTTTCTAGTAGCTTTTATTTAGTCAGATACTAACAGATACTTGCTTGGGTCTTTTGAATAAATTTAGGAGATGAAAAAGTAAAGAAAGATTTATTAAATCAGGTTTATAATTTAAAAATTCATTCAGAGGAGAAGCACCATCTGCAACAATAACTGATCGGTACTGAACACCTATTACAGAAGTGTGAGAGCAGCATTAAAAATCAATGACATGATTGTGAATACCTCTGCTTACTACAGGAAATTTACTGGAAAAAAATGGGCATCAACTGAAACTTTCTTAGTCAGTTTCAAGAGCTTCTGGCCAAATTACCAGCCCATATTCCTACCTGCACCAGCTTGTCTATTATCTAAGAAGGCAAACAACATAATTGTTTAAATTGATTTTTTTTTTTTTTGCAAATAGACAGAAAAGGTTCACTCAGAATACAGTAATCCAATTGTTTAAAGAAAGAATATAGCCTCTGAAAACCTTTTTAGCATCTTAGAAAGATTTTTAAGTTTTTAGTAACACTCCAGACAGCTGTTCATCAATTTGGCCTTTTCTGGGAAATCAATAGAAAATGTAGAGATAGAGATAAGCTGGCTTTTTGGGAAGTTTATTAAGAAGCAGAAGCATCAAAGAATGAATATGGTCCTTTCTCATTCTGAAACTTAGTTTGAAATCTTAAGCAAACCACAGGTTGGGGGCTGTCTGTTTCTAATCTACCCTCTTTTTCGTTGTTGGTATCTCTTAGAATCTGATCATGCTAGGAGAAATTGATCTGGGCTCCCTGGGCATGGGAGATACAGGCTTTCAAACTTCGGCAGTCTTCTTGCCATGGCTTTCAACACTTAACTTGTCTCTCTCAGCATCTTCTTCCCATAAAAACATCTCTCAAGTTTCCGAAGCAGTCTATATTAGAAAAACAAGAAACTCTGTTCCTAATTTCATCTGTATTTTACACCAGTTTTCCAAAAGGCAAAACAGACGACAAAACCTTTTCTCTTAAATGAGAATTAAAAAACAATAACCAATTAAAAAGATGTAAGTGGACCTGATTCAAAGCAGTAATCCCTACCTGTAGACAGAGGGAAGAGGTGGACACCAAGGGAGAAGCCATTGTTTCCCTCTACCAGCTAATAAGC